GCTGCGATCTGTGAAACTGTCGCCACTTTCAAGGCTGCCGGGGGGCCCAGCGGAGTGGCGCCCTACGGGGATTTAGATTAGACCTCGCCATCCCTGGGGGGCTGCGATCTCTGAAACTGTCGCCACTTTCGAAAGCTGCGCGGGGGGGCCCAGCGGAGTGACGCCCTACGGGGATACAGATTAGACCTCGCCACCCCTGGGGGGCTGCGATCTGTGAACCTGCCGCCACTTTCGAAGGCTGCTTGGGGGGCCAGCGGAGTGACGTCCTACGGGGACTCAGATTAGACCTCGCCATCCCTGGGGGGCTGCGATCTGTGAAACGGTCGCCACTTTCGAGGGCTGCTGTGGGGCCCACGAAACTGTCGCCACTTTCGAAACCTGCTGCGGGGTCCAGCATAGTGACGTCCTACTTGGACGCAGATTGGACCCGTCATTCTACTTCGATTATCCCGCATCTGCGATCGACTGATGTGTGCGAGGAACTAGACATGGAGTGGTCTGGCACTGACTGACGTCAAATCGTTGTGTGCCAGTGTCTCCTGGGGTGTTGCCTGATGTGCGTGCAGCTCGTCGGCGCTGCGACTCGAGCTGGCGGTCGCCCTTCGGACCCGCAGACACATCTGCTGAGCTCGATGAGCTAGGGGAACTACAGGAAAGAAGTGCAGGAAACGGACGCCTGTCATGCACTCGCCGATACCTCGTTGCTCTGTCATCGTCTTTGCTGTTGCATGACCCTTATCTGGCCTGCCGGCGCCGCGGCTCGAGCTGGCGGTCGCCCTTCGGGCCCGCGGGAACATCTTCTGAGACAAGTGGACGCCGCCGCCTCACTTGCAGGCAGCGCATTGCATTCGCGGACAGCAGCATGGCAGACCGCAGTGAGATCCTCAGTCGCGCGGTGTTGCCAAGCCTGGTGGAGACGCGCGTGATCGACCTGAAGTCCCAATCGCGCGTGCGCTGTACCTGCGTGGCGTTCAGGCACGCGCGTGATGCTGCTCGCTCCGCGTTCAACCAGTACGTCGCCAGTGCAACTTTGGACGATGGACAACCGATTGATTATGCGCGACCCCGGCCTTGAGTTTCTTTCCCGCGGGCCGCCCGCAGACCTGGCGGCGCGCCTGCGAGCGCTCAGCTCCCGCGCTGAAATGCGCGGGAAGGAGGCGGAGAAGCTTGCGGGCGAGCTACGCCTCGCTCGTTCCTTGCACTCTAAACAAGTTCTATCATGTGGAACTCTGCGACGACATGGCGCAGGCAGCGCTGCGGGTTTAGCTCGCACTTGAAAAACGCGGCAGTCTTCTGTCTCCTCCCGCCACTTTCATCGTCGTCCTATTCCCCGCCTCACCTTCTCGATGCATGCTGCTGCTTCCGCGATGGCCTTTCGCCCCCCCCGCCCTCCATTCCATCCCTCTCCTACCCCTCGTTTCCGTGCCCGTTATTCTTCGATCCTGGGGCCTCAATCCTCGTTCTTTCGATCGTCGTCCTGTGAATCGTGCAACGCATGCGCATCCCATGTAGATTGCACAGCAAATCGCCGCGTCTACACTGTCGTTGTTCCTGCTAATGTTGGCATAGTCCTCTTGCCATTTGGTGCACGTGGGTTGGGTACGTCGCAGGGCAATGCCCTCGCATCCTCCTGGGCCTACCCAGGGCCAGAGGCCCAGGAGGACACCAGGGAAAAAATCAAAACACAAAAAAACATAAACACCATGGGAAAAGCAAAACAAGCAAACACAGCTGAGACCATCTGCGTTTTCACATCCACGACCAGAACATACTTAAAATACATTACATTCTGGTGGTAGATTTGAAAATCGCAGAGAGTCTCAGCTTGGTTTGCCTTTTTTTTGCGTTGTCCCTGGTTCTTTTGTTTGTCATTATTAATATTATTATTAGTTGTTTCTGCCTCAGAGCCCCCAGGAAGGCCAGAAGATGCCAAAAACATTGATGTTCCGTAGGTTGGTTGAAGGTGTTGACGTTTCCTTATGTTCGGCCTTCCGACGGCCCGATGCGGCCCAAGAGCCAACACATATCGCCGAAAGATCGCCCAAGAGGCATCCAAGACTGCCAAGATATCCTTCAAGACGCCCACGTGTTCCCCGAAGGCTTTTCGAACCGATTCGAGGGACACGTGGTCCGATGGCTCGGCAGGTCTGGCCTCAACGTTCGGCCACACAAGGCGGCCATGATGACCTCCAAGACGGCCCCAGATGGCCTCCAAGTCCGCCCAAGATGGTCCAAGACGGCCTCCAAGAGGGCCTCAGAGAGTCCAAGACGGCCCAAGAGGCGGCCCAAGAGGCCTCCCAGACGGCCCACGAGGCCCCCAATAGGTCTCCCAGGAGGGCCCGAAGAGGCCAAAATCATTGAGTTCCCTTAGCTGTTTGAGAGATTTTGGAATTTGTTTCTTCTCGGCATTCCGACGGCTCCAGACGGCCCAAGAGGCCCCCAAGATCGCTCAAGAGGCCCCCAAGAGAGCCCCATGACGGCCCAAGCGGCCTCCAAGATGGCCCCAAGAGGGCCCCTAGACGGCCCAAGAGGCCTCCAACACGCCCAAGATAGCCTCCAAGACGCCCAAGATGGCCTCCAAAACGGCCCCGAAGCGCCCCAAGAGGGTCCCCCGCTGGCCCAGAAAAGGCCCCCAAGACTGCTCCCGACGGCGTCAGGCGTGCCAGGAACCCACCAAGATGGCCGAAGCTGGCTCGAAGCTGGCCCAAAAGGGCCCAAGAGGCCCCAAAGAGGGCCTCCAGGAAGGCCAGAAGAGGCCACAAACATTGATTACTCGTAGGTTTTTAACGGATTTTGAGATGCCCTTCTTGTCGGCCTTCCGACGGCCCGAGACTGCCCAAGAGCCCCCAAAAATCGCCGAAAGATCGCCCAAGAGGCCTCCGAGACGGCCACGATGACCTTCAAGGCGCCCGCGTGTTCCCCGAAGGCTTTCCAAACCGATTCGGGGAACACTCCAAGATGGCCTCCAAGATGGCCAAGCTGGCCCAAGATGGCCTCCAAGATGGTCCAAGATAGCCTCCAAGTCCGCCCAAGGTGGCCCAAGACGGCCTCCAAGACGGCCCAAGAGATCCAAGACGGCCCAAGACGGCCCAAGAGGCCCCCCATAGGCCTCCCAGACGGCCCAAGAGGCCTCCAAGAGGTCCTCCAGGAGGGCCCGAAGAGGCCAAAATCATTGATTTTCCTTAGGTCTTGGAAGGATTTGTGAATTTGCTTCTTCTCGGCATTCAGACTGCTCCAGACGGCCCAGGAGGCCCCCAAGATCGCCCAAGAGGCCCCCGAGAGGGCCCCATGACGCCCCAAGTGGCCTCCAGGATGGCCCCAAGAGGGCTCCAAGAAAGCCCAAGAGGCCTCCAACGCGCCCTAGATGGCCTCCAAGACGCCCAATATGGCCTCCAAAACTGCCCCGAAGCTCCCCAAGAGGGCCCTCCCGTTGGCCCAGAAAGGCTGAACGGGCTCGTGACCCACCGGATGAGCGCATTCCTTGGTGTCCATTGTCCAGAGGAGGAGGAGGAGGAGGAGGAGGAGGAGGAGGAGGAGGAGGAGGAGGAGGAGGAGGAGAGGAGGAAGAGGAGGAGGAGGAGGAGGAGGAGGAGGATGGGGAGGAGGAGGAGGAGGAGGAGGAGGAGGAGGAGGAGGAGGAGGAGGCGGAGGAGGAGGCGGAGGAGGAGGAGGAGGAGGATGAGGAGAAGGAGGAAGAGGAGGTGGAGGAGGAGGCGGAGGAGGATGAGGAGGAGGATGAGGGAGGAGGATGAGGCGGAGGAGGAGGAGGAAGAGGAGGAGGAGGAGGCGGAGGAGGATGAGGAAGAGGATGAGGGAGGAGGATGAGGCGGAGGAGGAGGAGGAGGAGGAAAAGGAGGAGTTTTAAACCCGCGTGCTCGCGCGCACAAGTGAATGCCCCTGGTCTCGGCACCTCGCCGAGCGCGCGGCGGCGCGCCCAAGGCGAGGTGGGCCAGCGGCCTCAGCACGTGCCGCTTTTCTCTGGGGGAACCTACGGCGGGCCTTGCCGCCCCCAACAGAAAATTACAGATGTTAAGTCTTACGTCGCCTCACAGCTCAGCCACAGGACGGTCCTCTGGCCGCCTCAGGTCGGCGCTCTTGCGCCGAGCGATGCCGCCACCTCCGCCCAAGCCTCCGCCTGCTCTGCAGGTCGGGACTCTGGAACACCCTCGGCCGCCAGGTGGGTCCCCTGGCGCGAGACTTAGTGGTGCCCAGGACCACCCCCACAAGTCCCCTTGCCCAAGGGGGACCAGGTGGCACGCGCCATGAACTTCCCCCGACCTCCCTGGGCGCGGGGTGACCCGAGTGCTGAGACTGGCGCCCGGGCGGCGAACCCGGGCCGTTTAGCGAACAGCACCCACTACCCCCCCAACAAGGGGTAGATTTATGCAGGCTCATATTCCCCCAGGGCGCCGCGCGGGTGCTGCACCAGCCCGCCGACCTCTGCCCTGGGGGCGGAGGAGAAGGAGGAGGAGGAGGAGGAGGAGGAGGAGGAGGAGGAGGAAATTAGGATGAGGATGAGGAGGAGGAGGAGGAGGAGGAGGGAGGAGGAGGAGGAGGGAGGAAGAGGAGGAGGAGGAGGAGGAGGAGGATGCGGCGGCGGAGGAGGAGGAGGAGGAGGAGGAGGAGGAGGATGAGGAGGATGAGGATGAGGATGAGGATGAGGAGGAGGAGGAGGAGGAGGAGGAGGAGGAGGAGGAGGAGGAGGAGGAGGATTGCATATGTGTTTAAGAATGCATGCGTGCGTGTACATATGTCCGCAGCTCGTACGACGGCTCATGTGTAGATTGACTTGGTCAAAACAAAGCTTGTTGCACTCACAGAAAACACCAAGTCAAATAGGGTGAATTTTCCCCCCCTCGGGGGGCGGGGGGGGGGCGGGCAAATCCAAGCGCGCATGCCAGCGCCGGGGGCGCCCGTACGGGCCCGTACCGAAGGTCACTCCAGCGAAGGGTCACTCTCACGCGTAGCCGAACCTCGGGCCCAAGGCAGCCTCTGTCAGCCCCCAATCCTCATCCGCCCGCCCGCGAGGTCGCCCAGCCGCCCCCAGTCGCCGCCGACGTCGAAGACTGGCAGGTCGGACGCGGCCAGCCAGGGCAGGGCCGCGAGCAACCACCTGGGCTGGCGAGGGGGTGCAGGAGCACTGAGGGCCGCAGGACACGACATCATCCTTGGCCCAGGCGGCCCAGGGTCGGCCTGGCCCTCCGAAGTTGGGGCCTCGCCAAGGCGATCACGATCGCCACCCCTCGCAGCTCGAGACGGCGACGCCCTGAGTGAGGGCCGCAATGGCGCACCAGGCAGGGAGCTGCAACGGCTCGGCTTGGCCGAAGGGCACCGCACGGCGAGCGAAAAGAACGACGGCCGCGGCGAGGAGTCAGCGATGAGGCGCTGGAGTCGGAACACATCTTAGGTGACCTGCTTCCCTTTTCTACAGTGTTCGAGCTCAGACAAGAGCTAGACGACGTTTGATGTATTCCTTCTCCTTCAGCGTACTTGGCGCCAGGCAGGTCCAGAGGAGGCGGACGACTGTGTGGCGGCATCCTTGTTTTTCACGTGTGGTTCAACAGCTGTTGTGGACTCATCTGCAACAATAGAAGGGAATACCACAATGCCCAGTCGAAGAACTGGTCAGTCCCTGATAACTCTGAGAAGCAGGGTAGCCTCTTCCTCTTCCTTCCCTCCCTTCCTCCTCTTTCTTCCTCCCTTCTCCTCCTCCTGGGTTGGGTTCGGTGGAGCCGCTTTTGCATCGGCAACGCTTTGGGCATGGCCTGAAGGTCGGTTGCTGGCTGATTCAGCTCGCCTGACTTAGTTCACCCCGAAGCGAATGTCAAAAAAAAAATGTCCTCCTCCACCTCCTCCTCCTACTCCTCCTCCACTTCTCCCACCTCCTCCTCGTCCTTCCCGTCCCCTTCTCGTCCTCCTCCCGAGGCCCGCCAGAAGGCAGACGACGACCAGTCCCTAAGGAAGACGACCACCACTCCTGCGGGCAGAGTCAGGGCCAACTAGTATCGGGCCTCCATGGATCGCCGATCGGAAGAGGAGAGGGGGGGGGAGAAAAGGAAGGAGAGGGAGGAGGGAGGAGGAGAGGAAGGAGAAGGAAAGGAGAGGAAGGAGAGGGAGGCAGACCGTTGAGAGAGAGGGAGGAGGATGCCGAGGAGGAGGAGGAGGAGGAGGAGGAGGAGAAGGATGAGGAAAGAGGTTCCGCCCAGGACCAGTCCTCGCACCCCTCCGAAACACCATCCTGATGCGTTTTCAGAGCCGCGCCCAGTCGCGGCAACGAGGGGGGACCTTTCCGAAGACATGAGGAGGAGGATACAGTCGGGGCGTTGACCTACGGAACCCTAAATAAGGAACGAGGCCCCTTTTTTTCCATAAGTTAAACTTCGATTTCCTATCGGAAACATAAGGACAACCTGAGGCAAGCTGTGAAACACTGAAGGAACGCGGAGCCCCTCCCCAACGAAAAGGGTTCCTTCTTCAAGGCCCCGACTGTAAGCAGAGACACGACTAGCAAGCAGCAGGGAGGAGGGGCCGCGTGCCACATCGCAACGTGTGCCGGCGAGGGGCTCTGCCGCGCACGCCCGAGAACCACGCCGAGCCCCGAGCGGCAATATTTAGCTTGAGATGAAATTTACCGCCCAATTTACGCTCCAATTCCGAGGAACGCGACTCTTAGAAGGTATGCCGTGCACGGGGGACTGCAGATGACAAACGGGACTCTCACCCTCGTTGATGCTCCTTTCCAAGAGGACGGCGGTGAGCGCGATGCTTGCCCGTCCCCCTGGGCTGCGCTCCGCCGGACCTCGCACGGGCTCGGCCACGCTGAACGCTGCCCTCGCCGACGCCCTCTTCGCTCGGCGCGCCGCGCCCCACGCTGCGCGACGCGCGCCGACGCTCGCGGCCGCGTGCCCTCGAGCCGCCCTCGAGCCCACCCGGAGCAGGGCAGGCGCTCTGGCCCGGGCCGCAGGCCCGCGAAGCGCGGTCCTCCTCGCGCCCCCGCGGGCGACCCGGCTGCCCCCGGGTTGCTGCCGCGTGTCGGGTCGTCGAACACCGCGGTGCTGCCTGGTAGCCGCTCCCCGTCGAGGGTCTCTCTGGGGACGCTGGGCTCGTCTCGCACGGGCCATCCCTGGCCAGTCGAGTGAAAAAGGCGCGGAAGCTCTCCACGCCCTGAAACAGCAGGAGCGGATGGATTTTGCGACGTTGGGCCTCTGTGTCAGGAGGTCGCAAACTACACAGCCCTACGCTATTTCTGCTTAGCGCATCAAGTATTGCGCTGCTGTGGGCGAGGCCAACCAAAGAACTGCTGCGAATGGATTCGTCGAAGTCTTTCCGTTCTACGATCTATAGAATATGTGTATGTATGTATATTTTTATATATATATATGTATATTTTCGTGCCACGGCGCACCGCCGACATATATATATATATATATATATATATATATATATATATCAGAATGAGGGGGCCAGGCGGTCATTCATTGTCCCTGGGTGCGTGGCTGAAGTGAAGATCCGTGGTGAGAATTATGTTTGTTGCGTTGCTGTTGTTTTCTCATTACAACAAATAATTATTGTTGATCCCCCCTCCGGTGCACATTGTACTTTTCAATTGAGGTGCCCCTCCTGGCGCTCGCACCATGTTTTCATTATCAGGGAAAATATTCCTCCTCAAACTTTGCCCCTGGCCCCCGGTTTACAACAACAACGGTTCCCGTTTGAAACTTCCTCGCAAGTTACTCAAGAATCGCGCTCCCACCTGAGACTTCCTCGCAATTTACTCAGGCGCCGCGCATTCAGGAATCGCGCGTTCGCTGGGGGCTTCCTCAAATTTACTTTGGAATCGCTCTCTCGCTGAAAACTTCCTGGCTAATCACGCAAAACCCACGACGAATTATATACCCACCAGAATTGGTATGATCGAAGACGAAGTCGAGAGCTCGGGAAATGCACGCTGACTGACACTCGAGCAAATAAGAGCGAACAGCTTTAACATGAGTGTTGTTGATGTTGGTGTTGCTGTTGTTGTTGTTGGTGTTGTTGTTACTGCTACTGTTGTTGTTGTTGTTGGTGGTGTTGTTGTTGTCGGTGTTGTTGTTGTCGTTGTTCGGTAAGGCGTTGACACCAGCCCCAGCTTGTTGTTGAGATCTTCTTCTTCTCTCGAAACTCAAGTGCTTATCCTTAAGGGTAAGCAAAGCTCCAGCGACCGAGGGCTTGCCTCACGGGGCCGGAGAAGGGGTTGGCACTGGGGCGGCAGCGCAAGGTGCCCCAAGGGGCCGGAGGAGGGGTCGGCATTCCTGGCGCGTTTCCAAAGATTTCCCCCGGATGTTCGCGAATCCCTCAGGATTCCTTTGGATTTCTGGGAACTCCTCCGGACTCTTCAGGATCTCCAAGGATTCCTTTGGACCCCCCAGGATTGTTCTGGATTCCTCTGGATTCCTCAGGAACCATCCCGTGGAACTCCCGAGGATTCCTCAAGATCCTCTGGGGTTCCTCCGGCTCCTTCCGGAATCTCCAGGATTCCTCAGGATCCCCCAGGGAACCTTGGGATCCAAAATGATTCTTCAGGATCTCCCCATGGGGTTCTCAGGATCTCGTTGGGCTCCTCTGGATTCTTCAGGATATCTTCGAATTATTCAGGATCCCCCAGGATTTCTCTGGACACTTCAGGATTTTTCAAGATCCACCACGGCTCCTATGGACGCCTTCGGACTCACTAGGATCCCCCATGATTCCTCAGGATCCCCTCAGGGTACCACTCAGGATGCACAAGGATTCCTTAGCATTCTTGAAGACCCCCAAGGATTCCCCAGGACCCTCAAGGATTCCTCAGGATCTCCCAAGCTTCTTCAGGACTCATCAGGTATCCTTCGGATTCGTCAGGATTCCTCAGGACCCTTTTCAGGATTCCTCCAGACTCCTCCCGAGTCCCAAGGATTCCTCAGGATCCCGCAGGAATCTGGGGGACCCCAAGTGATTATTCAGGATCTCCCCATGGGGTTCTTAGGATTCCGTTGGGCTCCTCAGGATTCTTCAGGAATCTTCGAATTCTTCAGGATCCCCAGTGATTCCTCTGGACACCTCAGGACTGCTCAGGACTCCCCAGGATTCCTCAGGACTCCACAGGACCCTCCCCCTCCGAATGAGTCCGATGGGTTCTTCCTCAGGATCCACAACGATTCTTCAAGATCCCCCAAGATGCCTCAGGATGCTGAAAACCTCCTCAGGTTTCCCAAGGACTCCTCGAGATCCCCTCTGGGTATACCCCTCAGCACTCCTCAGGACCATTCGCATTCTTCAGAATTCCACAGGATTCATCCGGATCCACAGGGTTTCCTCTGGACTCATCAGGACTCCTCAGGATTCGTCAGGATTCTTCAGGATCCCCCAGGATTCCTCACAATTCCTCCCGAGGCCACAGGGTTCCCCAAGATCCCAGAGGAACCCTTGGGACCCCAAAAGGGTTCTTCAGGATCCCCCTCGGGTTTCTCAGGATTCCGCTGGGCTCTTCAGGAATCCTCAGGATACGCGAGGATTGCTCAGGATCCCCTGGGACTCTTCCGGGCTCAGCAGGATTCTTTCAGATTCGTCCGGATTCCTCTGGACACCTCAGGACTTCTCAGGATTCCCGAGGACTCTTCAGGATTCCCCAAGGATCCCCCAAGGTTCCTCAGGATGCCTGAGGACCCCGAAGGAGCCCTAAGGATTCCTCAGGAGCCCCTCAAGGTACCCCTCAGAATTCTGCAGGACTCCTTCGCATTCTTCAGGGTACTCCAGGATCCCCCAGGACCCACAAAGATTCCTCAGGATCCCCTCGGCTACCTCTGGGCTCTTATCAGGACTCCTCAGGAGTCGCCAGGATTCCTTTGGACACTTCGAGATTCCTCTGGATTTCTCCCAAATCCGCAGGATTCCTCAGGATTCCTCAGGATCCCACAGGAACCCGTGGGACCCCCAAGGGTTCTTCACGATCCCCCCAGGGTTTCTCAGGATCCCGAGGGGCTGCTCAGGATTCCTCTGGATATCTCCGAATTCTCCAGGACCCCCAAGGACTCCTCAGGACACGTCAGGATTCCTCAAGACCCCCAAGGGCTTCTCAGGGTTCACCAGGGCCCCGCC